AATACATACGGTTAAACAGTTCTGAAACATATGCACCTCTTCCAGCACTTGTGTCCTCTTCCTTGTTAAGATGGTTACTCCTTTTGCCACATCAGCTCCTCTGATGGCATCTTTATTCTTTAAAATAGTCAAGATGGTCGACTTCGCCATCTTGTACTCTGAGGCCAGATCAGTCACACGAATACCACGATCGTGCTTTTCTATAATGTCCTTTTTCAGTTCGATCGTCACTTTTTTCTTCAAAGCCTTATTCTTGCCAAGCCTGCTCTGCATTTTCTTTGGAGCCATGCTGACAAGCACACCAAACACCTTCCAAACGCCACAAAAACCTTCCAAACACCACAAAACACACCACAAGCCTCACCGAACGTCCCCGTGCTACCGCAATCTCGCCCACAGGAAGCCGCGACCGCGTGGCAGCAGGGAAAATGGCTGTGGATCTGGTTTGTAACTCGAGGCAGAGTTCGCAAGTCGAGGTAAATTTTTGGGGCCGGAGCTGGTCGTATCTCAAAAAATTCGTAAGGAGGGGCGTTCGTAACTCGAGGTACCACTGTATCTTTAAATGGTGCTTGCCATAATTGCACTGTTCTTGGAGGGCCAGCTTACTCACAGTGGCCTTATTCTTAAAAATATGTTGTTCTACAAGGCAAGTGATGAAGTAAGAAGTAGGTTCATTGAGAATGACCCAGAGAGACATAGATGTGGTTACAGCAACAATGGATGGCAACACAAGCCTGTGGCATGGTGAAAGATGGCATAAATCACGGCATAGGTCCATCCAGTGATCAAATTGAGAGGTGCTTTTTTTTTTTTTTAATCTGCGCTCAGTCGTTACCGACTCTGCAGTGATTGCCTGGACGAGTCCTTACAGTTTTCAAGGCAAGGTGTTTCGGAAGTGGTTTGCCAGTGCCTCCTTCCTAGGGCAGAGCCCAGCTGGCAAGCGCAGGAGGCGGGGTTTCCGTTGCTTCGCGCCCTTTTCGGGCGCGCGCAGTTTTTCACGCTTACCGGCAACTGCTCCCAACTCCTTTTTTGCAAGGCGCCGCCAGCATTTTTCCTACATGGCAGTAAATTGAAATCACATCCTTCAAGTCAAACTTTGCCATAACCAGTATTAGAAGACCTTGCTGGTATAGCAGTACCAAAAAACCCCCACTCTGATGCAAGAATCCTTGGGATGCCTCGTTAGCGGAATAATAATGGATATATTGCTTCTTTTAATTGTGTCATGTTGAATCAAGCCAGATTGATATATTCTGGAGAAGGCACATTTACACTTCAATTTAAGATCTGATCTCTTCCAATAAAATTGCATGTGTACAAAGAATGACCAAGCATTTCTCCTTGGTGTTCCATAATAGTGGGGAGACATTGGGAACTAGAGTTCCTCAGGACAAAAACATGTGGAATGTCAACAAATAATTGTCTCTTAGTATGAATTGTGGAAAGTGTCAAGCAGGAGAAGGTGGGAGGAAAAGTCACTGCAATTAAAACAGTTATTAGGTGAGGCAACATTCTTAACTGTCACAGGCAATCAACTCTTTGGAAATTGCTTGATCTCCTGTTACCATAAAAATCCATTTCCAATCTAAAATTGATTTTTTGGGAAGCTTTAGCCAACCTGGAGCTGCCAAAGGTAGCAAGACATTAACATTTTGTAGTAAAATGGCAGGTGAGAGAAGAGACTTACCTTCCCATAAAGCAAAGGATGTCCATATAGCTTTGTTGTGACACACCTATTTCTGCATACTGTGATATCCACATGCATCACAAAGGGATTAAATTCCTTTAAAAAACCAAGTCATTTATCACATTTCCACTGCTTGAATGGCTTCTGCTTTCTTCATGGAATAATCCTTTGTTATTATGGGAAATGCTGCTGGCATGGCTTGAACTGCATTCTGCCCAGAAGCATCACCTCAGCAGACGGCTTTGAAAAATCCTTTGCTTAGTCTAAACCACTGGACAGTATGATTAGGAAAATTAAAGGAATTATCACCCATGCTTTAGCAATGATGTGTAACAAAGATCAGAATCTGCCCCATTTCCAGTCTGATTGTCTGTCTATTTTTTATTAAGAGAGACATGTGGGCATTTTTCAGAGGGGAAAAAAAAAATGAGATGGTAGAGAAAACCTCATAAAAACACCAAAAGAAACAAAGGAGAGAAGCAGAAAAAATATCGAAATGAGAGATTGTCTTTGTGCACAAATAGGCATTTCAACCAGGGTGAGTAAGCAGGTATGATTATACCCGGCTGTTCTATACATAGTAGGAAGCGAGATCAGTTTGCTTCTCTTGGTACAGCATCCTCCTCTAGTTGGGAAGGTGGCAGCTATTTTTAAATCCCATCTCCTCCCCACAGCATTTCTCAGCAACTGCATCTGAAACACACGTAGTTTTTAAATGCCTGGTCAGAACAGTTAGAGATCAGAGGAAAACTCTCACACGGATGTCTGAATCATCATGAAATATGATACAAAATAGACTTTGCTGAGTAATGGTCAACGAAACTCAGATATAACAAAATGTAAGCACCACAAGCACATTCTGGGCATTCCAGCTTTACTCTTTGCACATAGCATTTCAGGCCCACTGATAGATCATGTCAGCTAGGAGTTAATATAGCAGATTTCCTACAATGAAAGTGCTACAGCAGCAAAAGGCCATGCTGACTGGGAATTCTGGAAATTGTAGTCCAGTACTCCTGGAGGAAATGAGACTGGGGAAGGCTGTGTTATAAAACATTCAGCAAAGGAAATACTTGCTTTTCCTTGGGACTATTCCCACGCAGAAATTGTGACAGGAAGAAATGCCATTGCTGATTGCCTGGAACAAAATTCAACAGAAGGCTTCTCAATTTAATCTCAACAGTTTGGGTCCATTTCAGCCAGGGTTTTGGATAGGGTATGGGACTACCTTTACTTGGTGGCTTTGTTTTTGTTGATGAGTGCTGGCAAATGGATGAGAAGAGTGCAACTCCATTACTACTCCTGGATCTTTAAGTGGCTTTTGACACCTTCAACCATGATATCCATCTGGGCCTCATCTGCTGGGTTAGGGCTGAATGAGTGAGCTTGGCTACAGTAGTTTTCCTTAGTAAATAAATCTAACTTTGTCAACCTTCAGATAGATAGACAGACAGACAGACAGACTTTTATTATTGAACACTATACTCCTTCCCTCGCTATCCTATTCTTATCCTTTCTTCAATAAGTCACTATGCATACCTTGGTCTGACTTGGATTTCTTTGCATCTTTAAGGGAAGGTATTCAACCATGTGCCTAAATTGCTAAAGGTTTCATGGTAGAATCTGAACTAGAGAGAGGGAGAGAGAGAAGCGGAAATGGACTAATTATTGATTAGTGGGATGGAAACTTAGCTGGTTGTCTCCTAACTTCTAAGTAAACCACTTTGTAAGTCAGGAAGAAATCCACCCACTTCCTAGCTTGAATAGATTAGAGATGGGTGGTAGTAGCAGAGAAGAGTCTGATATCTGAGTTGTCAGTTGGCACTGGAATAGTAACCCCCAAAGTTACATCCCTAATAAAATGAAAACAGAATCTACTAAAAATGTAATTATGAGAACTGTGAGCCAATATTATTAGCACTCATCCCAAATCAAGGTATCTTAATGGAGAAATTGTTGCACTCAAGTAAACTTTTCAAAGCACATTTTAATGACGATTCTCCCATTCCAAATACACTTTGACAGAACATGGCAAGAAAACATGGGAATGTTTGAAACTCCACTTACTACCCCCAGGTAACCACCACTTTTGAGAAATATTTGCCTCTTGTCTGCTGGCAAAGTTCTCTTTTTCTTTTAAGACAAGTCTCTTCTATAGATAGAATTTACAGCATCTGACCTATGTCCATCCAGCTTAAAACATGACATTATAAAAAGGATTGGGATAACAGTTCTAGCAGATACTGTATCTTCTGATCATTTGATGGTCTGTGGCCAGAGATTACGTGTCTGTATGAGGGAGGAAGAAGAGAAGAGAAAGATTAAGTTCCAAGCAGCCTTTGTAGGATACATAAACAAGAGTTTACTATAAGGACACCATCAATGAATAGTTAACATCTGCCAAAGCTTGCTGGTTGTTTATTTTCATCCTATGGGAGCAACTTTAATATGCTGTAAAACACATGTCTGATAGTCCTGCTTGTAGGTATTTCAAGTCCAGAGAGGCCCCAATGGAGACAAGTGACTGCCCCATTTTGTGTTCCCGATCGCCCTTCAATCCCTTTGGGGCCCTGGTAAATAGGTGCAGAACATTTTCAGCACATATCAAGCTCAAGGAAGTCCTCTCATTTAGACATTTTCTAGTTGTTTTTACTTTAAAATATTCAAACAGTGCTTATTCTATTCTTGATATTTTATTTTTATGATCGAAATAAAAACCCTCAAAAACTGGAGTGACCAATCTCTTTCAATCTCTGAGAACAGCTGCAAGTCTCCATAGATCTGGGTCGATGTATGCGCTTTTGTGAATTATTTAGGTAAAGCTGACCTATTCTCAAAGTGGAGATTATCTTTGGGTATCTTTGGGTGGTAAAGAGAGTGACTTGCTGTGAGAATCTGCTCCATTTTCTCTGTGCTGGACAAGCAAGCAATCACCTCCTTTTTTCCCCAAAAGGGTGGGTTGGCAACAAACTGTCCTGTCCCAGGCCAAGCACACAGAGAGGTGGTTGCAAACTTTACTGGTAAGTTTTGTGAAGTAAATAAACAAGTGGCAAAGGAATTGTGAATGCAAAGACACCGAGTAGAGAAACAAGTCCCCAAAAGCTCAGCTTGCCTTAAAAGAGTTCCCATCCAAAACAGCGCACACAAGTGTGGTCAAGCAAAGTCCAAGGGTCCAAATGTTGTAGAAGGGTTGTCAGCCAGTGCAAGTCCAGAGTCAAAGTCATGAGGTTTCAGATCAGGAGTCAAGGCACATGGAGTCTGAATAAATGAACGGTTGCTGCCAATGGAGAAGTTTGAGCTTGCTGCTCTTCTTAAAGAGAAACAGCCCCGGTGTTGCTCATTTGAAAGGGCGAGGTTCCTTTCTTGCAAGCAGCCTTGCAGAGGCCTTTGCTCTCCCCTCCCCTCTGCACGGCGAGCCCTTGCACTGGGAGGGGTGGCAGCTCAGACTCCTCATCTTCAGAAACTGGTGGCAGCCATGCCTGCTGGTTACTGGACAGCCCATCCTCCTCTGCCTGCAGATCCTCAGGCAGCGGTTCATCTGGCAACTCTGGGACTGGCTGCTCATTGTCGATCTCCTCATCTGAGTCTGAGCTCGCCATGATGTTGGGGTTCAAATGCTCTTCCTTTCTACAAGGGGCTGCAGAAAAGCCTGCACCTCACAGGAAAGGAACTTCAAGGGGCTACTCCTCTTTCTTGCCAGTGCTTGAAATATATGAACAGTGTAAAGAATGGTATGTGTACAACACAGCAAGGCAAAAAAGTTGTTCTTGGTATTCCCACGTGTGGGCCCGCTCATGGAGCCTCTGCCTAAGCAAAGTGTGTGCGTGTGTGTGAGAGAGAGAGAGAGAGAGAGTGAATATGCACACATGCACACAGTCTTGGGAAAGGATATCTATCTACTCCATCTGTTTATCTATCATCTATCTCTCTGTCATCCATCCGTCCATCTTTCCCCAAAATTACATGCGTGAGTACATGTTAAGGAGAGAGGGAGGCAGGGAGGCAGGCAGACTTCCCACTTGTCATGCTTGCTTTGATTTTCTGTGCGTATGGCTTTCCTTCTGTGGATTAGTAACTGTGATGACATCACTGTTACCTCACTGATTTCCTTAATAAGCCAGCCCACTCCCTGGCAGAATGATACTCAAGAATCTCATACCCAGTCCCACTGCTTGTTAATGTGTGGCACAATCTTGGGCTTTAGTCATGTTGATGTACACTTTTCCCACTTCAATTCATTCAGTTATTTAAAGGGGACAGTGTTCAATGTCCAGGGTCTTATATGCAGCTGCTTCTTTCCATATATTAATGAATAAGTCATCTATCATTATCCAAATGATTAGTATGGAAAAGAGAAACAATGATATGCATATGGTATGGGTTAAATTTATTCATCAGCTCATGCTATTATATCTAAAATTTGTCATAGGCAGAATATTCAGGTGCAAATATAGAAAAGCCTTCTGACAGTGTTGCTTGAAGTGCAGAAAGTCAAACAGCTCCTTTGAAAGATGTGATTTCTAATAGTGGATCTGAATACGAGATAATAATAGCACTCTAGTAAATTGCAGAATGTGTTTTACTTTGGGAAAAAAAACCTCACACAAGTGAATATGAAGAAAATCTGCATACTGCATGGTATTAATCTGGCTGTGATTTATATTAGACATGTTCATAAATATTCATAACTACCTTCTATAAATATGAATAACAGGCTTATCTGACATCAGTACAGTTTTTATATGTAATTCTGGTACATCATATTCCAGCGTCCCACTTGTTTGTCTGAATAACCTAAGACATTTTGTTTGTAACTTCAGAAATCAATATTACTCTCCTGAAGGCCTATTTAGATGCTGTTCTTTAGGAAAAAACAACAATACAATGCGGTTATTTTGGAGGTGTGGATTAGCACCAAGAATGCTTATAAATTCATGCCTTAACAAAAAGTATGTAAATCATACCCTGAAACTGTAACTGTAAATTAATTTACAGTTAATTATTTTTATGCCTTGCATATTTTTATGCCTACAGGTTTTGTTACCTGTTATACTTTTCCTTCATCTTTCAATCTCTTCCTCTAAGACGATGTTGCTCAACCTCAGCAACTTTAAGATATGTGGATTTCAACGCCCAGAATTCTGGGAGTTGAAGTCCACACATCTTAAAATTGCTGAGATTGAAAAACACAACCTTTACAACCTTTCTCTAAGACGAAGAGAGCAATTTTCCTTCTTATGATGGTGGCATTATATTGCAGGTAATTGTCGGGTGGCTGCCTGACATTGCTAGGCAGAGCTAAAGCCAAATGTGATAGAGAAGAGCCAAAATGGAGGAAGCAGTGATTTGGATCTGGTTGCTAGAGTGTTAGGGCTTTAACCTAACTCCCCCCCCCCCCCCCCCATTAATCCTGATTGAATGTGGAGGGGAGCCTAAGTTGGTAGATCTTTGTGAACAAGCTCCTGAATATGTGAATATGCATTTGTCCCTGTCCATTTCTGTCCTCATTCTGCCCCTGGTACTATGTTCACCATGAGCTCCACTCACTTGTATGGCTGTCAGTCTATCAGAATGGTATATTAAGTCCACCTTCCCTTAAGCTCTCAGAATAGAGAGATATGGATTGGAGGGCTGGGGGAATAGAGATGACTAATAAAGATGACCAATAAAGATGAATGACTTTATTTATCCCAATAAAGATGAAACTGGTCACATACTGCCTCCTGGTGGCCAATATAACTGAAAATAGCACAGGATTTTACTGTGTCAAAATAGAGAACCTTCCCCCCTCCAAGGCAGGGTGGTGGTGGAAATCATGTAAACCTCATACATGGGGACAAGGCGTGATGTATTGCTCCACTCTGAGAGCTTAAAGGAAGGTGAACTGCATATACCAATAATCTGACTGATTTCATGTACAGTATCTGCTCCTGCAACTCCACTGAATGCCAAGATGTAGATAGCTCCTAAAGCTAATGCATTATATCTAGTCATCTAAAGTACAATGGCCCCTGAGTTCATTTCCTGGTAGAGAGTCTGAACCTGCCCTGGATTAACCATGAAGCAAAATAAGCATGTGCTTAGGGCACCAGGGGAAGTGGGACACCACAGAGTTTCCCCCCTAGCTATCATGCCCTTAACTCTTTCACTGCCACACTCAAGTTTAGTTTTCAGCACTTACTGAGTCTTCATGTCTTGTCAGTTAAACAATGGAAGGGCTGAGAGGCACACAGCTGTGCTGTGCTTAGGGCATCAGTTGGTCTTCATCCCACCTTGGTAGGAACTCTAAAGAAAAGAAATGGCTATGTATATCTGACGAGTCCTAATACAGATGAAAATGAGTCACAAAGTGCCTCCTGGCAGTCAGTGTAGCTGCCAAGAAATCCTTCAGGATCTAATGTGACTCTCTCCATTTAGTGCCTTAATTCAATACTTGGTCAAAGTCTTTTCCTGGTACAGGAAAGTGGCCCAGAACCAGAAGATTGGGAGATGACTGGAGAAGATGACTTATCTAGCCAAAAGGAGGATGCACACGAGCTACAGGTGACAAACAACAGACTGCAGGTTTTGAGGGTGACACAGACAAAGGTACACAATGAGCTGACTTGGCTTTTTAAACATTTGTCTTTCTCAGGAGATCTGATCAGGAAATAATGGACTTTGAATGTCTGTTGAAGTGTTTAGGCTGTGCCTCCATCTGTGCTCAAATACAAATACAGGTAGTCCTCGATGAATGGATGAAGGCCATTTGTTCAGTAACTGTTCGAAGATATGGCGGCACTGAATGAAGGGACTTACAACCTGTGCCCAAAATTATGGCCATTGCAGCACCCCCACAGTCACATGATCAAAATTCAGGCACTTGGCAGCCCACCCACACTTATGACCTCAGGGGTACTTCAACTCCCTCCACCCACCTATCTCCCCCTCACTATCTATGCCCTTTTGGCCCCCTGCTGCCCCAGCTGACCTTCGCCATCTTCTTGCTCCTGCTGCTGATGAGGCGTGTCCAGCCTGGCTTCATGCTGCAAAAAAAAACAAAGTAAAAAGCAGACCTCTGCTGCCCTGTGCTCTGCCACCCCAACTCCCAATTGTGGGAGCTGAAGTCCACACATCTTAAAGTTGCCAAGGTCAGGAAACACTGATTTAAACCCTTCAGCTGCACCTACATGCTTAAATTGCCAATGGTATAGTCAGGACAGTTCTCTGGGGCAAATGTCAAGTCTTCATTCACCAGAAGGACTCCCAAATATGGCCCACCACAATTGTAAGTTAGTGAAGTAACATATTTTTACCGTCTAAAGCAGTGATGGTGAACCTATGACATGCGTGTTAAAGGTGATACGCCATGTCATTTTGGGTGACATGCCAGCATTCACCAACACCCAACAACAATTATTCTCTCTGTTTGAGTTACCAAAGAAACTGAGTTTGTTTTACTCATATTTCATTTTTGTAATTATTTGATGTTTCTTTGTATATAATACATAGCACCATGCATGATTGGACTGTATTTTTTTTTTAAACAAATGAATACGTAAACAATTGTTTTCTTTTGTTCGGGGTGGGTGGGTGACACACCAGCAAAGTCAAATTAGGCATTTTCTGAATTTCTGACACGCCAAGCCCAAAAGGTTTGCCATCACTGGTAAAAGTGATGGATGAATAAATTGGATGAATACATCTGGAATATAAAATTACCTATTTGCGTTCCTTTAAACCAGTGTTTTTCAAACATGGCAACTTTAATATGCGTGGACTTCAACTCCCAGAGTCCCCCAGCCAGCATGCTGGATCCATGCATCTTAAAATTGTCAAGTTTGAAAAGCACTGCTTTAAACAGTTTTGTTGCACTCCATGTTTCCAACAAATGGTTTAGAGCTTTATATGCAACTTCAAGCATCCCTAAATAGATGAGTTGGTAGTAAATAAAAATTAGAGTTTAGTGAGTGTGACGTGGAGCTGGCTGAAAATACGAAAGCCACAAAGGTTGCTCCCACCTTTACTTGGCTATCACTGTATTGCATACTTGTCACCAGTTGTGTGATCGCTTGAATTCAGGCCTGAAGGGCAGATCTGAAAATATTTTATGGAGTAGATTATATTAAAGATAGCCAATAATGATCGCAAGACCAAGCAACCAACCCGACCACTACAACTGTCATCTGTAGTACAACTGCAATCCTCTGTAATAATGGACATGTATAATACCATGATTTCTAGAACATATTCTATTTTTAAATAAGGTCTGGCCTTGCTTAGTTTTTTTCAAGATCAGCTATGGTCATAAGGGCTGCCATCTGCTGTTATGACTTATATAGCTTTTTGTTAACATAGAGGACAACATGAAATTGAAGTGACATTAATTGCACTGATTTTGCCAAACTGAAAAACAAAAAACAAAGATGATATAATTTACAGGAGAAAAAGGATATTTGGAATAAAAGTAGGTTTTTAGAGTAAGCAATTTTCTATCAGTCTTTGTTTCAGCAATGAATAGTAGAAAACATGATATTCCAAGATTAGACTATTTTACTAAACTCCATATTTAGTTCAACTAATTATTAATTTGATTAAATTTGATACTGGACCTAATCTGCATAATTCAAGTTACCCAAATTCCAAGTGGTGAAGAACTGAATGAATGAATGAATGAGGTTGTACAGAGTGTTTTCCAGTGACATTTGGGCTTTGTATCCACTTTGTAACTCAGCAAAACAAAAATAATCAACATTGTAAATGGCTGCAAAATTGGAAATGGTTAAATCTGCCTTTATCTTATTGACCTTTGTAGTGGAGCAAATTTCTCTGTGTTTATTTTTGCATCAGTGGAGAAAAAGTGGATATATTTAGTGCACGATGCTGCTAATAGTAAATGTTAATATGTAGCCTTGTTTTGAAAACCCCACTGGAAATAATTAAATGAACATTACAGAAGTAGAATTGTAAGCCAATAAAGCAGTCTGCTAGTGGATAATCAAAGAGCAAAACTGATAAATAAGTTTTTAAGACATACCCTTTTCCCTTCCCTGAGCAAAAAACCATCCAGAAAATGTCATCCTCATTGTGCTTAGTAACAAGGGGAAAGAAAAGAGCAAATGAACACCTCCAAGGTATATTCTGAAAGAACTTACTGATTGATTAAAAAAAAAAGGTGGATGATATAACTTAATTAAATTGACTGTGGGCTTGATGAATCACTTGCGTGATTAATAAAGGACAACATAAATTATTAAAAATATTACAATCTCTCATTCTTGGCTCTAGCAATTTACTCTTCAGCCTGAACAATGTTTACTTAATATAAGAATGGCTTCCATCATTCTGCATTCCATGTTAGGGGACTTCCACCTGTCTCCACCTCCTTCATGCTCTGAGGGTGGATTTAGATGGCTGTATGAATACCATGTCCATGTTTTAGCCCTGCCGGCAAGAGCCTGATAAGCAAGTTATAACGTGATTCACTGAACAATGTGGTTCAGCTTGTTTGGAGACCAGGCTATTTTGTGAAAGATAAAGAATCACCACCAATGTGACTGGGTTGCTTGCAGCAGGGTGTCGACTATGATAGAAGGGATACAAAGCAGATGAAGCAGCAGCTGGTGCTCTTGGTCCATTATTGGGGAAAAGATTCAGGAGGAAGAGGAAGGCAAGAAAGACAAGAAAGATTGTGAGAACAAGCTCATACATGGGCCTTACATTTCTCTACATCTGAGGCTACTGAAGCAATTGGAGAATTGGGAAAGGCAAGCAGATGTGGCTCCTGGGGAACACTCTGATCAGGAGAAAGTGCAAAGAATAATATCATAAGTGTTAGGGTGATTTCAGTCATGGCTGACATTTCTTGAAATGAAATGGGATGTCACAGATATATGACCATCATCTTTTGGTGCTATCATAGCAGCATCATTACCGTGAAACACCATACTACATAGGTACATCTCTGCATCCCAAAAAAGTGAATCTGTATTTAGTGTGTGTGTTATAGTAATAGCATTTACAGTACAATTCTGTGCACATCTATTCACAGGTTCCACTGAGTTCAAAGATACTGTTATATGTATAATTTCAGCACAAAGGTGAAACCAGATGAGACTAATTTTCCACAATTGCCTGGTCTTATTAATGCAATTTTATTAGTGGTCTAGACAATATTTTCCACCATTTGTTGCCTTCTTGTCTTTTTCTACTGAGTCTCCCATCACTTTTGTTTCCAGAGAAAATCACAGAGAGGAAAAGGTGGTTTAGATTCACAACAACTTCTGACTGACACTTGGAGCCCTTTGGAGATGAGCCTTCTTAGGATCATCTGAAGGTTACAAGATTTAGGTTACAAAAATCTGGTTGGTTAACTCAAGAACAGGGAAGAGATACAAAAAATGTTAAGTCTTTGCTGCCATCCTGGGAAGTCCACAGGATATGGTCAAAAAAATAAAAATGTCAGCCATGCACATAACAAAAACAGGCAGAGCTTTAATTGTACCATTGTGACTAATATCTTTATTTTTTTCCCCATATGCTGGGGACATTCTGCTGCCATCTAATGCCTGTCTAGACATTTGCAGACTAGATATGGTAGCATTGTAAGACTTGAAGGACCAGGATGGGGACAGACTATCTTGGAAAAAATCTATGTGGTTGCTAAGAGTCAACACTAACTTGATGGCACATAATCACTCAAAAGTGATCACATAACATCAGAGATAATTAGGAATGGTGAATGGAATCTGATTTACTGAGCCAACCTTACCCTTGGAAGCTACTGGAAATACATCCATATCTGTGTATGTTTCTGCATCTCCACAAAGTTTCCTTCATATTCATAATTTTAAAAACCAGATTTCACTACAAAAGCTGCATAGATAATCTCTACTGGCTTCTGAGGCTTTGCAGCAAAGCAACAGAAATTGTCTAGATTTCAAAGCTTCACGACCTTTTTTTTTAAGCCTTGAATATTTTTCCTAAGGGAAATATAAAAAAAGGAAAATGTTTTATTAACTTGATTGAAATAACACTTATCTGTCTGTGAGGGTGATTGAAAACATAATCTCCTATACACACCAACATGTAGTTAGGAAATCGTATTGAAGCAACATTTACCATCGTCTTCCCTGGAATAGTATTTTAGTGCCATGAAAAGAAATTGGGACTAAAAGTTCCAACACATTTAAGAGGTGTCAAATTGGTGAAATCTGGTAAGGAGAAGTGGGCCTTCCCTCCATAGCGGTAGAAGGAATTAGGGGTAAAGCTGTAATAAACACCTAAGAAGACAGAATGATCATCTCTATTGTGCTGGACCAAGAAGAAAGGAAATTTCCATGTATTCCTTGTGTGGGATGCTAGACATTGTATTCCCCCAAGGTCTAGTGGTCATAGATTGAATTAAGCTAACATAATAATCAGTGAACTATGTATTTAATAATGAACACATTAGCACATAATAGAAATGTAACTTGAAGGAATCTGAATGGCATCTCAGGGAACATATTGATATGTTACACACAGAGAGATATGCATTCCTGTGAGTATGTTATATGGGACTTAGATAAGGAATAAGAAGGGCATTGAACAGGAAATAGGCTAGAGAGCTTGAGATTAATATCTCCAGGATTAGCTTCATATGTTAGTTTCTGTTAAATATGCTTCTACTATGTTTATTTTCTTCCTCTAAAGTCTTTAAAGCAAGACATATAGCCCCAGCTCGTTATAACAACTTCATGAGACCAGCCAGCCTAGGGTCAAACAGTAAATACTGTGATTGAGGATTTATTTAGACCTACTCCAGCAAGAACATTCTGCAGCCTGAAACCAAGAGAAAGATGGCACCTTCTCCCACTCCATTGGTATAGACCAACTGGAATAGTAATTTAATTTTACTTCAATTTTATTTCAATTCTACTTCAGGGGTAAGGGTGTCCTTCTCCATACTTGAAGGCTTGGAACTTGGGAGTTTCAAGGCAAGCTTCAGGGCCCATCTAATTCTGTCCTCTAATTCAGGGTTCTTCA